CCCCAAAACCCCAAAACCCCAAAACCCCTGGGGCTCTTCTTTTCATTGATTTATTTCTAATTTAAATATGGGACAATGTCAATGACTACCAAGACCTCGAAGGAAAACCCAGAGATTAAGCTATCAGCGCACAAGGATGACGATGCTCAGACCTGTGGATCTCAAGAAAGCTTGATTGATTTTAAGCAATTGGCTGAGGATATTAGGGACAATACTGTCTTAATAAAGATCTCATTCAGGAAATCCCACAGGTATCTTGACGACTCTCCTAAATCAATGAAGGAACTTAAGAAGCAAATTGAGACCATATTTGACACCAAGTTTGAAAGAAAATGGCGAATGTTTTACTTCGACTCACAATCTGACAGGATCGATGTCACTAAGAACAGAGACCTGAAAACAGCTTATAAAGTAGGTTCCAACAAGAAGGATAAAGTCTTGAAAATCTTTGTTTGGGACAAAGAAGGGCCGCTTCCTGAACACAAGGACACCAAGAAGACTACCTTTGTAGATAGTGCCTTAGAGCAAAAGAAGATGATTGATAACATGCATCAGCAGAACTTGCCTCCTTATTCATCAGCTCCTAAGGAATATGTAATCAAGAAAGCTCCAGACGAGCCTACCAGGCCAACATTGGACAAGATGCGTGAGAATAGTATCCATCCCCAATTTTTTATTAAGGAGGAATCTAAGACACAGACCCAGCCAGAGTTTGACCTAATGAAGCTCCAGATGTTATCCAAGGAAGACATGAACTATCTGTCTACACTGAAACATAGAATAGTTGAAGTGATCAAAGTAAGAGAAGATGTTCCATTCGAAGAGATAGAATCAGAGTTTGCTCAGGACCAGAATTACCAGCGGCTCAAAGAAATCGCAAGTGACTTCATTCATCATATTATTGCTAAAACAAAGGAGAAAGTAAGGATGATTAGAAAGACAGAAGTTCTGCCTGATATGAAGCCGAGCATTTCTGCATTGATGCCTCAACCCAGGTTTGACCCTAACTTGGTTGTGACCTCTGCTAGGACTTCTGATGATAAGAACTTCGGTAGAGCTTTCTTCAGCTGAAGAATAGGGTCTTCATTTAGATCATTTGCTTTCTTTGTTTCAGAATTTGAAATCAAGGCACTGAAATCTAATAAAAATACTGGTCAGAATTTGTACCTGGAGACTTGATTAGAATGCTCAGAGGGAGTTTATAAGGAAGCACTGACTTTGAAAATACTCGACTTTAATTGCAAAGTGTATCTTCCGATTGTCCACTGTGTTATCGAGGAGCCTTGTAAAGAGTCATACTTGACTTTCTTCAACTGGTGTAGGCAAGAACTTGGGACATTTCTGACACCTAAGACGATTATTGTAGACTTCAAGTATGATCTTTTCCAAGCGGTGAAGGAGGCATATCACAACATTCAAGTTGTAGTATGCTTCAACAAAATGACTAAGAAATTTTATCAATTAGCAGAGCAGTATCATCTTATCCAAGAAAAGTTAGTAGCAGAGAGAGTTCGGAGGCTGATTTTAGCATTAAAATGTCTAGCATTCTCTATCCCAGGAGGAGTTAAAGACATATTTGAGAAAATTCGAGGGGAGCATAGCAAAGAATTCATGGATCTTCAGGAGCAATATGGTTCGTTCATGTCCTATATCAATACTACTTATTGTGATAGGTTCAGTAAGATTGATTGGTGGAATCAAAATCACGCAAAATTGGTATTTCCTGAAGAGATTAAGTTAGCAAGCCACAGTGATGAAATACTAAGTCCAGTGTATGCTAAATACAGTCAGGAATTGTATAACGCACAAAATCCAGGTGAGAACAACATTCAGAGGTATATTACAGCCCTTCAAGGAGTGGAAAAGGCCACCTCGCAAGACATTTACAACAAATATGCTCCTGAGGAAGGCAAAGAAGTTCAGATTGAAGCCCGGCCTTTTACGAAGACAATGAAAGCTCTTATGGAAGAAGAACTTGACAAGATCTTTAATTGTGAAGAAAATAATGAAGGTCTCTGAGATACCGCCCAAGCACTAGAGACTATCGGACTAAAGCTTGAAGTTACAGAAAAAGGCAAGGAGGAATTCAAGCCAGAATGTGACCTTAATCCATGCGAAGAGGAAACTACTGGTCAAAATTAATTTCAATTTAAGCTGAATTTAATGGGGTTTTGGGGTTTTGGGGTTTTGGGGTTTTGGGG